AGCTGCCTGCTTGAGGCTCGCCAGACTTAAGCAGGATGTCTGTGAGTGGCCAGGCTGTCCTGGGAGCCAGGCAAGGGAACTGGACAGTTGACCAGCTGAAGCAGGTGGCTGGACTCTGACCCAGTCGGTGTCCTAAGGTGTTGCTCGCCAGTGCATGCTTTGATGTTGCTTCATTACAAACTTGCGCGCAGCACAGAGGCAGGAAGCAAAGATGAGATTCGAGGACAGAGTTCCATCCTAGGGAATGCTGCAGAAGCCAGTGCAGCCTGCTCCACAGTGAGACTTCTCCCAGGGCTGAGGCCTGGGGCTGTGGGTGAGGGCTGGGGAGAAAAAGCCAGAGAGAGAAGGGCCAGTCCCTGCCCTCAGGGGTGTCCCAGTCTGCTTTGCTGTTAACATGCAGGTCAGGGGAAAAAAACAACTGATAATATACTTCCGAGCATTCACTCAAATGTTAATTTCTCTTCTCCTGTGGTTCCCCTGGAGGGTCTGGTCCTGATGGCTTGCTTTCAGAGCAAGTGAGGCACTCGGCACTTCCAAGTTTTCCCAATTCATCCCATTGCAGGTTGAAGTAGGCAAGTTTAGGACCCTAGCTAGCTCTGAGCACATAGAGCTCACTTACCTCCATGGCGGGCTGGAAATTACTATGCAGACCACATAGGGAAGGAAAATATTGTCACTTTCTGAAGTTCCCATATGCCTGTGGGTATGTTCAGATCCTTCAAAAATACACACTGTTTCCTATGTGTGGACTCCAGCGCCAAGTTCACACAGTCCCCCAGGTCCCTGTGTCTCATCAAAGCAAGAGTTTGTGCATCTCTGGACTTGACCACTGGTCATTTAGGCAACCACAGGCCATCACTTACATCCACAGACTCAAACATGCTATAGTGGTTGAGGAAGGAAGTGGAAGAAAACCACTAGGAATGCTAACAGGCTCCCTGATCCTCACCCGAAAGGTCCCACATGGGAAGTTAATGACCTCCTTAAAGCTTTTGAAGCCAAAGAGGCCCAAGGGGCTACAAACACATAGCCCTGGGCGCCAAGAGTCCTGTCAGCTCTTCCATCCTGGGTGGGCGGGATGAGGTGAGGCAGCAGCATGGTGGGTGCTGACAGTGGGCCAGCAAGACAGACAGCAACCTATGGCACACCTCAGGAAGGCGGGAAGGAGGGACCCTAGGGAATCCAACTGTCATCAGCCTCTTTCTTCTGTGTTTGGGAGAAACCCAGAATGGGGCGAGGTGGGAATGGAGAGAGGTGTAAATAGATGCTTAAGTGAGAGCAGCCAAGCCAAATTGCATTTGAAGAAATTCTATCCTTGTTATATTTGTTCATCTATCCTTATTTCTGAAATATAATTCTGCCAACCTAGAATGACGAGCCCCTCCTCCATACCCAAACCATATCCCTCCTGACTAGCTAGGAGTCATGGGAACTTGACTTCTATCTTGCAGGTGACTCGCCTGTTCCTGAGTGGGGTTGTAGGGTGTGGTGTGGAAGGCACACAAAATATGGCCTCTAGTCCAGAGTAAGAGGCAGTGGGACTCGTGTTTGCCAGGTTGAGCCCACCTTACCCCAGATCCCACTGGGTTTGGGGTGTTTTTGTTAATTGAGATATCATTGACATAAAGTATTGATTAGTTTTAGGTATGTAACATAATGATTTGGTATATGTGTATATTGTAAAATGAATTTTGTGTATATTGTAAGTTTAGTTAACCTCCATCACCTTACACAGTTACAAAACCCACTTGGTTTTCAACAGCCTCCTATATCCAAACTTCACAAAAAAACATCAGGAAGCTGGTGGTGCAAACAGGCCACCGCAGACATTCAAACCAGCTTCTCTGCAAAAGGTGGGGATCACCATCCAAACACAGGTTGAAGTGATCCTTTCATCCCAGGGTCCAGGTGACATTCATGGTCAGGCCAAAATTCCTGTGTCCCCTAGCTGGTAATCAGGGAAGAAACTAAAGCAGTATTCCAGGTTAACCGTATTATATTAGGGTTAAACTGGTCGTTAATAAGTAGACACTGACTAGTTATGTGGCCTGCATCATCCTAAGGACTAAAGGTCTCAAAGGAGCCCCTATTCTCAAGACTTTAATAGTCTTATTGGAAATCAAGACCCAGGAAACAGAGCACTGTTATGTTGTGCGGAGTAACCGGGGATGACGTTGGAGCTCAGAGGCTGGTGTGAGCTAAGGGGAGCGGGAGAGTCAGGAAGGAGGGGGGAGGGGGAGGGGGAGCAAGAAAGGCTGCAGTGCAGGTGCTCGGGCAGGGTGGCAAAGATGCAGGGAGGCGAAGACCGGAGAGCCTGGAAGGCCAGGCCTGATGGAAGTGTCCTAGGAACATAATGTGTCATTGTGTCCTCTGGATCTGGTAAGCAGAGGGTGACGGGGCCCCTCTGCAATGGAGCAGTGAAGTGAATATGAGACATTTTGGAAGGAGTAATGATAGCCCTTAGAGATGAGGAGACTGCAGAAGCCACTGGCAAAAGCGGCAGGCAGGAAGACACGTGTTGACATTCAAGCGGAGGGACCATCCAAGGAGCTGTTTGGAGGAAGCGCTGGGCTTAGTGTGCCACTGGCTGGAGGAACGATGAGAAGTGAATAGAAGGATTGCCAGTTGGAAAGCCAGGACTGGAGGACAGTGAAGATAAGAGTCAAGGATGCGGAGGTAGGTTTGGCAAAGATTCATTCCATGACGGCAGATGAAGCTCTGAGTATAGAGGGGCTTGACATTGGCTTGTTGGGGGTGGAGAAAGGAGTTGGCAGGAACTGGAGACAATGGAAGACTAAGGAGGTTTACCTACAAAAGGACAATGCATGAGCTTGAGCTGAAAAATATGGCAGGTTCCTCAAGGGCTTTTATTTTAAGATACAGGAAGCTTCAACGTATTTAACAGCAGAAAGGAAGAGACATCAAAGAATAAGACATTGAAAATGCTAGAGTTTGCAGAAATCCGTTCAGGATTGAGCTCCCAAGAAAGTGAGGCATGGGTCCCACAACTGAGGGGGAGTAGCTTCAGAAGGGAGAGCGGAACCTACCTGACATGGGAGAAGGATGGTTGTGGAGCCTGGCAGGATGGTGGCGGGGAGGGGTGGTGCCGTTTGGGAGGGACAGTAAGAGATGAGTAAAAGGATTGCCAGGCAGCAGTGAAGGCCCAGTTGAAGCACGACATAGTGAATCTGTGATGGGCCTGGGTCTGCGTCTCCCTCCAGCAGGGTTCATGGCAAGGGCAGAAAAATACGGTAATCCTCAAGGAGACCCACAGCTGGAAATTGAGTTGGTGCTGGAATGGGCGACACACAGGGAGGAGAGTGTGGAGTTTAAGGTTAGCAGAGGCCCCATCAGGCCAAGAATGGGTGAGTGGACTGAATGAAGGAAGTGGAGGGTTCCTCCACTGAGTAGATGTGAATCCAGTGCCTCCCATGTGTGAGGCTCTGTCCCAGCACTGGGGAGAGAACAATAAACCTGACAGTCCCTCCTTCAAGGAGCTTACTTTCTGGGTGAAAGGACAGAAGTGGTAAAGAGCACAGACTCTGGAGCCAGACAGCCTGGAGTCACATTGCTACCAGTTAGGAGCTCTGTGACCTTGAGTAAATCACTTAACCTCAGTGCCTCAGTTTCCTCGTCTATAAAATAGAGATGATAATAATTAAAACACACTTTATGGGGTTGTTGTGAGGATTGTTAGAGAATGTGGAGGAAACTACTTAGAGCAGTGCCTGGCCCACAGGCAGTGCTTATAAGTGGAAACTGTTAATGGTGGTAATACAGTAGTGGCTCCCTTATCTGTGGTCAACTGCAATCCAAAAGTACTAAATTTCCCCAACCACCGACATCGTCTGCTCCTGACATCCAACCGTCAGCATCGTCATGGCTCGATGACCCAGGATCACCTGAAGCAGGGGATCCTCCTTTTGACATGTCTTCAGAAGGCCAGTCGAGCCTAACACTAAGTCACAGTGCCTATGTCATTCATCTCATTACGTAGGCTTTGTATCATTTCACATCATCACAAGAAGAAGGGTGAGTACAATAAAATATTTTGAGAGAGACCACATTCACATAACTTTTATTACAGTATGTTGTTATAGTTGTTCTATTTTTATCGTGAGTTATTATTAATCTCTTGTATATAATTTATGAATTACACTTTGTCATTGGTAGGTAGGTAGGTAGGTATATATGTATGTATGTATAGGAAAAAACCAGTTACTCGAGTTTCAGGCATCCACTGGGGGTCTTGGAACATATCCCCTGTGGATAAGGGGGACTACTTTTTATCGTTCAGATAGTGACAAGTGCTGTGAAAAAGATAAATTAGAGCCCTCAGAGAGTGGCTGGATGGGGAGAGGGCCTTTGCTTTAGCTGGGAAGGTTCAGGAAGACCTTTCTGAGAAGATGACATTTGATGGCTTTCTGAGACAGCCATCTGAAGAAAGAGCAGCAGATGCCAAGGTCTTGAGGCAGGCATGAGAGTGGCCAGTGTGGCTGGAGTATAGAAAGTGAGGAGAAGGTGGTGGGAGACAGGACTGAAGAGGTGGCAGGGCCAGCTCTAATGGCACCTGATGGGTCACGACAAGGAATACAGGCTTTTCCCAATAGTAGTGAGATGCACTGGAGGTTAAAGCAGGAGGTGATTTGATCTTATGTGGAGTTTTAGGAAGATCTCTTTGACACTGTGTGGGGGGTGGCCTGTGGGACCAGAAGTGGAAGCAGGGATGGGACCTTCCCCCACAGCATGCATAGATCAGGTCAATCACAACCATGTTCCGTGGAGCTGAACTGCTTTTCGCCCTGGGCAGCCAGGGCTTGGAGACATGGTAGGACTTGTTCATCAGTCTTCACTATTGTTTGAGACCCTCTTGGTGCAATGCCCTTGGCTAGGCACTGGGAAGGCTCTAAAGACAGTGTCTCTGCCCAAGAGGAACAAAGGGTGGGATAGTTTCCAGATGCCTGGTGCACAAAATAGCACGTGATAAAAGCGCCGGAGCACAGCGAGGGCCCCAGGGCCTCCCTTCTGTCTCCTGTACTGCTCTCCAGGAGGAAGCCCCGTCCCATGGGCTCTCAGAGCTTCCCATACCGTCTGGCTCTCCTAGAGGCTGCTAGGCCCTCAGCTGGCTCCACAGTTACTTTGTGCCTCTTCTGGTCCTCTGATCCTTCCTTTCCTCCAAGTCTTTGTTTGCATGGCAGTCTACATCTCAACAGGTGTCGCTTTTGTTCTCCAGTCCTTAGAAAGAGAATGGCAAGTGGGTCCTACCCAGCCCACACCCCCTTCCGAGCCCTAAACCCGGCCATTGGGTCACCCGGGACACCATCAGATGATGCCTGAAGGCCTATCCTCTAGATCCACCCACATGCCCGTCACATCACAGAAGGGTCTGCCCAGTTGGAGACAGGTCCTCCATATATTCTAGGCAGGGACAGAGAGGGACTCACTGTCACGGGGGGGCGGGAGGGGACAAGTCAGTGTGTCATAGCCACCAGGGGTTTTCTTTGCTTGTGGAAATGGTCTGAAGTGGCATGGGATGCGCTGAAGGCATGGCCCCAGCCCCAACTTTGCCACCAGCCATCTGGGGGCACCCACACAGGATTGCCTTTGCTGTTGGGGAGTGCACAGTCCAGTTGGGGAGATACCATAAAGCAAGGGCATCCTGGGGCTACACCCTGCCCAGACTTACTGCCAGGAAGCCTGGGTGGCTTTGGGGCTATGCTAATGGGCAAGGTTGCTGCTCTGGGCCAGTGCAGGCCCCAGAGGTATTCTTATAACAGGCGTTTGCAACGTGACCACGGCCCCGTTTTCTGACTGGTTAGCATACAGGCCCCGTCTCTTCACCTGGGCTCATTGATGGGAAATCGTACCTCGGTGGCCAATTCCCGGCCTCCCCTCAGTCCCCACCATGGTTTGCAAGAATGCCATGCCTCGTCCTTAAGAAACTTCTTCTTCCTAAAGGGTCTGTCAGACTTCTGCTGCTTATTCTGCTCCTTGTTCCCCCTTCCTCTGCCTCTTTTCTGACCTTTTGACCTTGGCTCCTTAATTATTTTCTCTTTCTCCCTGTAGCGGGGTAGTTTGGGCCAGAGGACTGCTAGATGGTAGCGTGAGGCACGAGGAGGAACATGGACGTGAAGTAGCTGAAGTTCTTCCCTCACCGCTGCCTCCTCACCTTCCCCCATGCAACATCCCTCACATGTTTGCTTCTGGCCCTCCCCCCTCCAGCTTACACCAACAACCAGGCCGACATGGCCACCCAGGGCTGGTTCATTGGGCTCATGTGTGCC